AATAACAAAGATAATTTGACCTATACAATATTCTCTTTGGACCTCTTCAGAGAACGGAGAGTTAGGGTTGACAATGGAACTCCCAGGGAGGGGTAGTAAATTGGAGAAAATCTTCATACAATAATTCAATTAAGTATAAATTAATTTAGTTTTTCATTGTCATATAGACTGCTGTATGTTTTTTTTTTTATACTAGTAGGAGTCTGGTGTAAAACAATTATGATTGAAATATTCTCAATTTGTTGGTCTGTGGGAGAATTTCAAATTGTTACACGAGGAGTAATTTTCTAAAAGATATTAGCAAAAAATGACAGACAAACAAACATTCACATATCACAAGATTCCAAGTCAACCACTCAACATTACTAACTGACTTCAAATAAGTGAACACCCCCCCCCCACAAGTGACTAATGGAAAAAAAAAAAAAATAATTACTAACTGTTTTTGTGTGAAAATGCAGGTTTAGATGACCTTTAACCTCACTTTTGTCACCTTCCACAGACTATATAAACCTGCCTAATTTAATAATTGGACTGAATAAAAAAAAATACCGGTACATCATGAATTCAGACACCTCCAAAAATAACCAATTTCTCATGGTTTAATTTATCCCAATTTATTTATAATTTAAAACCTAAATAACTTTTTAAAATAAATTTGTTACTGCAATATTGTGGTGTACATATGCTACTATTGTCATGTACCAAATAATGTTATTTTGTCTTTAAATAACCAAGTAATCTTGATTTGTTTTTAGCACGCATTGTTCCGTATTTAGCAAGGAATAAACTACCTGTACTTGAACTGAACTCTGGGGACTTCATCTTCTCAGCAAACATAATCACAAGGTCAGTTGAAGAGGGCCATCTAGTGGTGACCTTTGCTTTTGATTTTTATACTCCTGATAAAAAATTTGTTGTCTGTATTTGCTGCGTTTAAATGACAGCATTTTATCAGAGCCTTACGGCTTGTGCCAGCAAACATGGCCATGTATACGCATTCAGCTTGAGACGGCATAAGCCAAGTTCGGCTCCAATAAACCTTCTGGGTTGAGCTCTGATTGGATTAGGCCACAACATTAACTCTGAACATGTAATCGCATCGAGCCCAATGATCGGGCCAAAATTGTATATAGCTATCTCGTCCCACCAATGACTACTATGCGTATGTTGCCACACTGTGTGGATAACTAAAGATGAACGAATGGTAGCACACATGATTGCAAAAATAAGAGCCGTTCGACGGCGATGTTAGGCAATAATCATTCACTGCATTCTAGCTAGTCTTCTTTGAGCATACTTATTTCTTAAAAAGAAACATTCTGCATTGACCTTCTCTGTCGCTTTTCATCGTGCCAAAATCGTTTTTAGACATGTTGCTTTTATACCAAGTAATGGAGGGTGCTGGATTAAACTTGAACAGATCTCGGCTCTCGTTCAGCCCCAATCGCGTAAACACATTGAGATAATCAGTGGGAGGAACAGTAGTTTGTTAAGTTCACCTTCTCTGATACAAACGTTTAGAATAGAAATATCCAGGGTATTTGTGGTCAAGTGCAGCTTGTATTACCGTACTCGACCGCGAAAGCGCCCAGGGTCCTCAACTCATAAAATCAGGATTTTTTAGGGGTGGGAGATTACCCCGAGCATCCTGCTCGGAAAAGAGTGCAAATGAATTTTAATTAAGGGACAACATCAAAAGTTCAATGTAGGATAAAAAACTTAATTCCTTTAGTTTTTTCCCAACCACCCCCACACTCAACTGAAACTTTGATAATTGATAATCGGACAGTAGTATGGCATAGCAGTTGGTTGTCGGCCAAAAAATCCAGCCATCCAACCTTCCGCCGTTCAAGAGGAAATAATGAAGGGGAATATACGCATGTGCAAACTACTTTTCTGGGTTCTGCACATGCTCTAGGACCATGCCCTGAAATTGGTCTCATTTGATGCACATATTTACTCTCGGACCAAACCATTTTCTCATCTTGGATGTTTGTTTTTTTTCATTTTCTGTTATTTTTGTCCATGATTGGATAGAGAAAAACGACCTACAAATACAAAGATTTTTTTGACTTCATTAAAAAATTAAAAATCGTTTTTGTAGGCTGGAAACTTTTTGAGGTCAAAACCCCCCACCCCTAAACTGAAGCAAATAAGTTTTTTATCCGACATTGATCTTTTGACGTCGTCCCTAACCATGTGACAGATTGAGGAGGATATTACGTTTTTTAGGGAAAATAAAATTACAAAATTAGGTGCATCGTCATTGATTCGTACAATGAAGAAACAGAAATGGTCAAATATGCATATTTTATTACAATATTAATTACGTACGGTACTACCAGAATTTACGAGATTAAAAATATTAGAGTCTGTTGGAACACAGTCAAACTCAAATCTTCATCATTATCGCCACTGACGAATGTGTTGGATCGCATGCAAACTCTCGATAAAAAGCACTTTCCGCCATGATGTATTTGCATTTGACCTGCATTAACGTCCTTTGACCTAATGGGTCAAGTCTGTTATTATCCAATCACAATGCTGTATTGTACCAAGGCAATTCTTCGGAAATTCCCGAAGACTGGTAACACAATGCGGACGTGAATTATCAAGGTTGGAATTGATTTCAGCGAATAAACGACATGGTTTTTGTAAAAAAAATGGTAACTAGCAATTTTTTATAGGTTACCGGTACCTGAATACAGCATGAAATATTTACCGAATTTTACTTTTATTAACATGTCATTGTCGAAGCTTAGTTTATGCACGGTTACCGTGGTCTACGCATTCACAACATATTCACAATGATCGATATGCACGCTGTATCATAATATAAAACGATTACCAGTATTCATTAAGCAATGATCAAAGATCAAGTTTTAAATTACCCGGTAGTGGCATTTTGAAGGGGTGGGTGCTTTGCCGATTGTAACCCCGAATATAAAAATTGCGCAAAAGTTGGGGGTGGGGCTTGACCGGGCATGGGCGTTAACGCGGTCAAGTATGGTACATGTCTTCACCTTCTCACATATGATTGAATTATCTCTAGGTATTTGTTATGTAAAGCTGGCAAAGATTCTGATGATATAGAAGTAGATGAATGGATAGAATGGGAAGCCTCTCAATTACAGGTAACACACCATTAATTCATAAGTGACTTTGAAGTTTATTAATTGGCTCACAAGTAATGAAAATTATTACAAACTTAATTAATAAATTTGATATTGTGGAGTAGTGAGTTTGATTACTTGTTTATCCATATTGTTTATAATTGTGAGTGCGTATTCAAGTATCTGTGACATTTGCATGAATACCGGTAATCACTTTTCTGTGTCTCATTGTTTGGTTTACCAGATTGGTGTGTATAGACCAGCCTACCTCTTCCTGCCCCCTGTCTAACTTACAACTGACATGTTTCACTGTATGTTTAATTAATAAATATGTTCTTGTATATTACAGGCTATATTGCAGCCTTATTTAGTTGGCATGGCAAGTAAATCCAAATGTGATGTTGGCTTGGTAACTGGAATTTTAAATTACTTAAATTCATCTTTGAAAGGCAGTGGATATCTGGTGAAGGTAGGTGAATATTCATAGATAAAATGTTACTTGAAGACATTTTATCTGTTTTGTAAAGTTTATTTTCACTAATTTCTGAAGGGTTGAATGAAAAAAAGTATATTTGCTGGATTTAATTTTCACTGATTTTTTCAGCAAAAAATAAATTGTAAGGGAAAACAAAGTACTGTACTGTTTGTAGCTGATGGGAACTGGTGTTTCTAATTTTTAGATTTCATATTGGTCTTATAGTTTGGTGGCCGTATTGTGTTGTTTGACTTTTCCTTTAAGAAAACCTGAAGATGTACTCCTAGACTGTTTCTTATACTTTGGGGAGTCTAGTAAATTCAAATTTGTTGTTGAACATTACCATATTGGCGACTTGCAACTAAAGTAGTGAGAGGGGAAAGGCAATTAATACTGTAGGATGGGAATTTTGTGCAATGAAATTTTTGCGTGAAAGCAAATATCTTCTAATTCGCGCATTTTATTATTTGGGTTCTCCTTGCAGACAAATTATTAGTATTTAACTTTGACCTTTCATTTATACGTGTTTGTCAATAAATTT